AGAAAGTGAGGCAGTCTCCACTTGATCACTCAGGGCAACAGCTTGATACTCTGTCTCAAAAAAAAAAAAAAAAAAAAAAAGACTTCTAAGAGTAGCATCTATTTAGCAACACTTTTCGGTCAAGACACTGTGATGTCATGTTACAGCTTCCAGTGTGAAAGCACTCTGCACTTCTCACTGTACTTTAGTGTACTCTCTTCAGAGTAGGGATCAGCCAAAGGGCACCCTGCTACAGGTACATCATCCTAGCCCTTTCTCCAGTAGATCTCCACATGACTGACACTGCCAGGGTCTTGCCTAAGAATCTCAGTAGGGGAGGTGAGACAGATAATGATAGTGGTCCTCCACTGTTCATTTCGCCTTCTACTTTTAGTAACAGAACACCCAAATTTTGTGTGTGTGACCTCTCAAAATGAGTGTATTTCCCAGCCTCCCTCGCAGCTATCATATGAGGCCAGATAATTAAGTTTGCAATCTCATCCTGGAAAAAGTGCTATATACCTCATTGCTGAATATAGTATGGTCATCTTCAAAGTACTTTCTTTAGGAAGCTGTGCACCAATGCCAGTGCCTAGTCCACCCTTCAAAGCAAATTTGGAACTCATTTTCTAAAATGGCCATCAAAGCTATGGCCATACTACCCTTGATGTCCTGAATGTCACCAAAATGTCTTCCTTTCAATATTTCCTTTATCTTCAGGTAAAGAAAAAAGTCACTGGGGGCCAGATCAGGTGAGTAGGGAGAGTGTTCCAGTGCAGTTATTTGTTTACTGGCTAAAAACTCCCTCACAGACAGCACCACTTGAGCTGGTGCATTGTCATGATCCAAGAGCCATGAGTTGTTGGCCAAGATTTTCAATAAAGATTTTCCTGTTTCTCTACCAATATTTACTTTGTCTGCTATGCTTCTCATACTCATCTGATGATTTTGACACACAAGTCGATGAATCTTTGCCACGTTTTTGTCTTCTGCTCACTACCATCCACGCTGACTTCTCTTCATCAGTGATGCTTTCTCTCCTCTCAGAAAGACATTTAATCTATTTGTACACTGCCATTTCTTTATGTCATTATCCCCATAAACTTGGACTAATATGTCCCTGATTTCACTTCCACTCTTGCCAAGTTTAACAAGCAATTTACGAATGCTTGCTCTCCAACATTCTCACAACACACAAAAATACACAATAACAATAATGAATGCCACTCAGCAAGACACCACTAAGTGTCCACATAAACACAGCTATGACACACTGATATACCAAGGTTATGAACCTTACTCAGTTGTTTGTACAGTGCTGCCAACATAAGTTCACAGTGGCAAGTTCACAAACTTAATTGTGCTACTTCTGAATTGTGCCTTTAAGAGAAAAGATGTACCCTCTGCTGTCCCCCTTGTATCCCTTCTCCCAGGCAGGAACAGGAGCTAAATTATGGGGTGATGAGCAGAAAGCAACATAAGCAACAGCAGAAGTGGCTGAGGTTCTAGCATCAAGCAGCCCCGACATCAGCCCTGGACTGCTTCATATAGAGGTAGCAAGAGAGGCACAGCAACAAGCTTCTACCTATTGCAGGTAATGATATGTGGACTCTTTTGTTACATAGGTTCTAATAGAGCAGTGGTTCTCAACCTTCCTAATGCTGCAACCCTTGAATATAGTTCCTCATGTTGTGGTGACCCCCAATCATAAAATTATTTTCGTTGCTACTTCATAACTGTAATTTTGCTACTGTTATGAATTGTAATGTAAATATCTGACATGCAGGATGGTCTTAGGCGACCCCTGGTCATTCGACCCCCAAAGGGGTCTCAACCCACAGGTTGAGAACCGCTATAATAGAGGAAAAAATTATAGCTGGCTGCACTGCCCTCTCCTTTAATGGGCTCAGGGATTTTGCTATCAGTGCCACCTTTCTGAATCCCTCTTTGTAAATTCCATACTCAGTATCTTCACTCTTAGGCTTGTTGTGATGTTATGATTTCAAGATGATAAGTCCTCTTTTTATTTTGAACAAAAGAGTTCAAATAAAGCTGGACATAGTAGCTCACATCTGTAATCCTAGCACTCTGGGAGGCCAAGGTGGGTGGATTGCTTGAGCTCACCAGTTCAAGACCAGCCTGAGCAAAAGCAAGACCTCATCTCTTAAAAAAAAAAAAAAATAGCTGAGTGTAGTGGTGGGTGCCTGTAGTCCCAGCTACTTGGGAGGCTGAGGCAAGAGGATCTCTCGAGCCTAAGAGTTTGAGGTTGCTGTGAGTTGTGATGAGATGGCACTCTACCAAGGGTGACATTGTAAGGCTCTATCTCAAAAAAAAAAAAAAAAACCAACTTCAAATATCCTTAGGTTTTGCCTAAGTTTTCCCAAGTCTGTTTTGGAACCTAAAAACTCTCAAATCATTTCTGAACTAAGAATCTATAAAACCTCTAGACCAAGGAGTCACTGAAATGGCCAGAGATGCCACTTCACCTCACTGTTCTATGGAAACTGTGACATGTAGTTCCAGTGAAGACAGAAGAGATCTTTGACCCAGATCTCTATGGCACTCTACGTTTATTTTTCAGGCCTGCAGCTTTATTGCTGATACCAAATGATTTTACATCCATAAGGAAGTTATGGTTTTCTTGCAATTTTGAGCAACTTTCTATTTGCTACTCAGTGTGAACATTTATATTTTCTACTCAATGCCTATATATAAAGCAAGTATTTAAGACTTAAAGTAAAATTTAAAACCCAAATTTAACAGTCACTTATAGACCAACAGACACACTTCTAACACTTACGAGCTCCAAGAAAAAGAGTTTAAATGAAGGTCTACATACCATATGTCTAAATATTTAAAAATTATAATACCACGTAAAAACTGTTAAATGAAACATATTCTACCCTCCTACTTCAATATCTTCAGAAGTCCTAGTTTGAATTCAGACTATACCTTGGACTTCTACTCATAAGTGGGTGGCTAGAGGAGAACCAGCCTCGGCCCCCACCCCTCAACCCACCCCTAGGTCTGTCCTGCAAGTACATGGATATCCCAAACTGCACATCCCAACTCCAACTACAACCCCTGGGCCTCCATCAGGCCAAGGCCATAACAATGGCCTCATTTGCCCTGAGCAGGACAGACTCTGGGAAGAGATTGATGCAGGCCTTTAAGGTAGTTTCAGAACTATTTGAGCAAACAATTTTGGATTCTCTGCGACTCAGTGATCTTAATGGGGAACTGGGGCTCAGAGTAGATTTGGGTCAAGTCCAATTGAGGGGGTACATCCACAGGAGGAACAGAGCAAGACATACACCCCCATGGTCACCACTTCTACACAAGATTGTTTTAATTACTGTAACTTTATAACAGGTCTCAATACATGGTAGGGTAAGTCCTCCAGCTCTGCTTTTCTCCTAGATTGCCTTAGTTGTTCTCGTACAACTGAATTTCCATACAAATTTTAGAATCAGAGCTGAACTCCTTTGGAGATTCCTAGAGTGTAGCGTACCCTGGAAAGGAATGGAAGACCCAAGCCCCTTCCCCTATACCTCGCCCTACACATCTCTTCATCTATATCCTTTGTAATATCCCTTATAATAAACCTATAAATATAAAAATCAATAAATAATTTTAGAATCAGTTGTTGATTTCTACTCTTAAAAACATGTTGGGATTTAATAGACAGGCATTGTGGCAGGCGCCTGTAGTCCCAGCTACTCAGGAGGCTGAGGCAAGAGAATGGCTTAAGCCCAAGAGTTTGAGGTTGCTGTGAGCTGTGATGCCATGGCACTCTACTGAGGATAACATAGTAAGACTCTGTCTCAAAAAGAAAACAACACGTTGGGATTTTAATTGCTTAAATGTATAATCCAGCTCGGCACCTGTGGAACAGTGGTCATGGTGCCAGCCAGATACACTGAGGCTGGCAGGTTTGAACCTGGCCCGGGCCAGCTAAACAAAAACAACTAAAAAAAAAAAAAAAGCCAGCTTGGCGCCTGTGAGGCAATAGTTATGGCGTCAGCCACATGCACCAGGGTTGCTGGCTTCAAACCCACCCCAGGCCAGCTAAAACAACAATGACAACTCCAACAACAACAAAATCAAGGTGTTGTAGCAGGCACCTGTAGTCCCAGCTACTTGGGAGGCTGAGGTAGGAGAATCGCATAAGCCCAAGAGTTGGAGGTTGCTGTGGGCTGTGATGC